ACTGGGCGTTTTTTTTTTTTTTTTTTTTTTTTTAATTAGTTAGTCACTAAAAGTTACAGCAGTGACAGGAGGCAATAACAGGACATAAGTCCCAATTTGTAATTGTCTCCTTATCTAAAAATAAATACACTAAAATACAACTAGTACAGACATATACAGAAATTTTACAAACAAACTCGGACGGTCACATATGCTTACATTATTACAAAACAGAAGTTATTATTACTAAGTATTATGTATTATGGAGGAACGTAACTTTGCAGAGTATCTTTAGATTGAAGTATAAGCCTTGTTTTAAGTGATTGTAGTGATGAAGAGGCTTTAGTATCATGCGGTAGCTTGTTCCACAAATTTATCACCCGTGGAAAGAAGGAGAATCTAAAATAATCTTGTTTGTGTGATATCTTGGTTTTAAAGTTATGTGAACTAGAATTACGTGTTAAACGAGCACAGTTTACTGGAGAGAAAATGCCCTTGGAGTCGATATACATAGTACCGGAGTTGAATTTATAAAATAGAGTAATGTCCTTGATAGATCTTCGATATTCCAGGGGTAGCAGGTTAAGTTGGCTGAGTCTGTTGGCGTAAGATACATTACTTTCTGGGTAGTTCAGGATGAATTTGGTGGCGCGGCGTTGAACATTTTCAATGTTTTGATAAGCAAAGATCTAAAATGGAATGGACATGTTGATAAAATAACGACGAAAGCTGCCAAGCGTCTTTATCTATTAAAGCAACTCAAGAAGTCTGGTCTTGACAGTAACGATTACCTCTTAGACATAATCGAAAGAATCCAAAATAGAGCAATGCGTATCATTTTTCCTGATCTATCGTATGAAGATGCTTTGGCTACTCTTGATATGAAGCATTTGTGGGTGAGAAGAGAAGACTTGTGCAAAAAACTTTTTAAATTAATATTTAACGATGAAAACCATGAACTCCATCATCTTTTACCTATGAAAGTTCCGGATATGTACATGCAATCTTAGAAATTCGAAACAATTTTACATTCCTAACTATCGTACAAACAGATATATATATATAAGGACACGTTTATAATATCCAGTCTCTTAAATGAATAGTAAATTATATAGATGTTTTTTACTAGTAGTGTAGAGTATAATTTTTATGTTTTTAAATTGTTGTATAGCCTATTCTTAAGTATTCTAAGTGTGAATATGCTGTGAATATGCGCGTATTTCGACCAATATTCACACTTGGAATATCTTATATCTCACCTCTGGCTTAATCCGTGTTTCCACAAGATAATTTCTGAAGCTGACATTTGTTAAAATTTATTTTGAATGCTCAAAAATAGAAGTGGAATTTTATAAATAATTTGGCGCAAAAAGCGCGCTTTCAAGTTAATAAACATTGATTGAGGATCGCGCATTCGTACTTGTAAGAAAGCTTTTTAGCGAAAAAAAATATGGGTCAGTCAAGAAGAGAATCAAGAACGCCAAGGGCTTAGTAAAGTCTTCAAACTCTGGTCGCGGTTAAAGAGCATGCCAGCGAGTATTTGTATGCTACGATTCCCATGAAGAAATTGTAGTAGTTGTAGTAGTAGTAGTAAAACTTTATTTAAAAGTCACACGCTAGCCCCGTCAACTTTAAGCTGATTTCCACGAGGGGCGTGTGATTTACATTTAAAAACATATACACAATTAACTATAAATACTATTATACAAGACAATTAACCACTACATACAACACACCACGCTACAATACACTACGTAAACAACTTACATGTATTATAAAAGTATGGAATATGGAGAGTTATAAAGAAGAATAAGGAAGTTAAAATTTATACCTAGAAGTGTTTAATTTGTATGAGTACGAATTCTTTCTTTAAACATTGTCAATGTATCCGAACAAGGCATATCCATAGGTAGAGAGTTCCAGACTTTAGCGTCATCGTATGAAAACTTTTCTTTAGTTTCTCAGTCTTTGGCTGAGGTAATTGCAGCGAGGTGGAGGAACCCCTGAGGTTGTATCTGGTAATGTTTCTCTTATGTTCAAACAGTTTCGTAAGCGAACTCGGAGCCAAATTATTTAGAACCTTATACATTGTTTTAGCTTTAGACTTGGCTCGACGAGTCTCCAGATTTTCCCATCCTAGTGCTTTTATTGCTTCTGGTCCAGAAATATCGTTACTAAAGTTTATGATTACCCTTGCAGCTCTATTCTGAAGTTTTTGCAACCTGTTTGAAAGACCGATACCATGCATGGTATCCCACACCTCGCTACAATAGTCAAAATGAGGATTGATTAAGGCATTATAAATTGAAATTAAAGTGTCTCGGTTTACAAAATCACGAATTTTCCTAATGGCTCCTATTCCCGAAGTAACTTTGTTGGCCACTTTGTCGATCAATATGTTCATTCCAAGATAATTTATCATCAAGCTCTACCCCAAATACGGTAGCTTAATTTATAGACTTGTTTAATTTTTGCTTCATTTATTTTGAGATCTGGCTGTGTAATAATATTATTTATTTGCGAGTTGAGCCAATAAGTATAAATTCTGTTTTTGTGACATTAAGGCTCAGTTTATTGGCTAGTAGCCATTCATTTATACATATAAGTTCACTGTTCATTCTTGACTCAATTTCCTGGATATGCTCACTGGCTATTGTAAGGTTTGTATCGTCGGCAAACAGCCGGGGAGTAGCATGGTTTAAACATTTGGGGAGATCATTTATATACATAAGGAAAAAGAGGGGCCCCAAAAATGCGCAAAACAGAAATGAGATTGCATGGCGAGATGCACACGCTACATTATGTTACTTGTTCACCAGTTTAGAATGATAACGAATATTAACCATATTACAAGGATTCATTTATTATTGTTCAAATTTTGATCCCAACAAGCAAATACCGTTTGTGCGTATAAAAGGACCTCTTCGGTGAGTGACTGAATATTGTGTAGTTGAGTGCAATAGTTGGCCTATAGACCATACCCTATGGCCTAATGACCATGTGGTGAGTTCTCTACATTTCTTTCTCGAATTACCTTATAAAGCATGTGATAAAAAGTTATTGGGTTATGCGTTGACAGTCTGTGCGAATGTTTAAGCATTTTTTGTTCTTCAAACTTATCTATGAACAAAGATATCCATATGAACAAACATGATCTTTAGGTTGCGATATTAATTTGCATATAGCATATGCCATGATAAGATTTTTTGAGATTTTGTACAGTTCTTAAAAGATCATGTACATGTGATGTTTTACAACATTTATACATCTATTATTTCTGTAATTAATTGCAAATTATCTAAATTATCAAAAATTGGTTGCATACAGCCTGCCATTAACTTCTAAGTTGTTATGATTTTCAATCGTTGGGCAGCTGGTTGTGGTATACACTTATTATTATACGAGCAATGCTGTTGTAGTATATATGAAACATCATTGCTCTTGGAGTATGTCAAGCAAAACGAAGAGTGCATTGTTGAATATATATGTAATTACTTTCATGTACTTAAAAAACACAGTCTAGCTTGGACTTCTAAGCTGTTAAGATTTTTAATCTGCCTTTAAAAATGAGGTGATTGGCCATGTGGCAATGATGAAGATTGATGATTGGTGACATTTGATATGATTCCCTTAGGAATTGTGGAATGCAGAATATTGTGGATAATTGGGGATTTAAAAATTATATTTATGAAATGCTACGAATATGTGTTTGTTGTTTGGCAAAACGCGGGTGCAATATGGAAATGCGTGAGATGCCTTGGCCGGTTATTGCCATTCTGGTCAAGTCTCTTTCGTTTGTTTTTCGTTGAAAATTGTATTTATGTTTCATCAGGCTCCAAGCACAACTAGGGAAAGCACGTTTCTAACCCCCTAACAGGTCTTGGAACGACGTGCTCGCATATGTGATTTGTGATAATGAGCGGAAATTGTGTGACGTTAATTCGTGGTGAGATCGGTGATGATGATGAAGTCCAAATATGCATGAGTATGCTGTTTATCCGTATGTAGTGGGCTGTTGGTTTGCTATAGGGGGCTAATCCCTGAATTGATTGGTTTCTGCTCTCTGAATTGATTAGCTCCATCAATTAAACAAATGGGCCATCCCAAATCACCTTTGACCAAAGATCAAATATCTCCACTACCCAGACACAACCCACAGAACCGGCTCCATCAAGCGACAACCAACAAATCGAAAGAGCACACCCATGGAGACCACATTGGAGTGATTCACCAAACTACAAACCATCTGCAGCCACGTTGACAAATATGGACCCCTTAGACAACACAACCTTGCCACGAATAAACATTTAGGATCACATAAACAAATAATATGTACAAAAAATATGTATAAAAAATACATTCATTAATGGCATGGATGGCAGACAATCAAATCATACAATGCCGGCCATAAACATACAGTTGTACAAATAGTTATCATAATATTGAACCACCATCAGTCACATAGCAATATCATGTAAATAATTCATTTGATTCGCTCACCGAGCACTGTTGTAAATACAACACACGTTCAGTCTCTTCAATCACGACCTTGATACAGTTTCATCACCACGTCCAATTGTAACTCCAAAATCCACCTTGAAACAAACACACACATGAGTTGAATTATCGCTCCGAACGTTCTCCAAAGAGAACTCGTAATTATATATTTCGAATACACTATACGTCATTAAACCGACCGCCATTTGCAATAACTCAAACAATCCACCACTACCCCTCTTCATCCCCCGGATCAACCAAACTCTCCCCCTATCCTTGCCAGTGCTTCCACAACGTGGAAACACAAACCACACAACCCATTTTTCAAACGAGACCCTAACCCGGACCGTAAGTGGAACCCTAACCCCAACCTTAAACAAAACCCAACCCCACAACCACATACAATTCCAACCGTAAGATCGGTTTCGGAGGCCTAAATAGCCATAATTTTTAAAAAAATAGCACCCCCAACACCATCCCCCCCGAAACAAATTCGGCCTCGCTTTCACGATTCACAACCTCGATGTCACACAGCACACTCATTTTACATTTCTTGCGCGTTAACACTCAAGCAAACTTCGGTAAGCATCTGGACGCTTGCTTTTCTTCGAATTGAAGGGTAAGTAAGACCATTTAAATATTTACATCTGTAACTCCTAACATAACAGTTCCCGGCCGGCACTAACCAGCCGTATTAGATATCATATTCACAGAGATGGGGCCAAAATAAAACAACATTTTCCTCGGTACGCTCCCATGCCGCGGTTTATAATTATTTTAATAACGGTAATACACGTGGGATTGAATACCAACCTTCCTCACAAAATCACCACACATTGGGGATGTTTTATGGAGCTAATCAATTCAGAGAACAGAAACCAATCAATTCATGGATTAGCCCTCAACAGCAAACCAACAGCCCACTACAGGGTGTAACAAACAAAACGCAACCACTTAATATTCATGAATATCCTCTTTGTTCTACAACACAAAAGACGTTTGGCCCCTGGGATGCGAGAAAGCTTGTAATCATATTCTAGCGGCACAATCGTCGGTAAACAAAGTCGGGTGCGTAAACCAACGAGCTGAAATGAAAGTATTTAACGAGTAAAATTCTATTTACAATTATTTTACAAGGTCGACAGTTAGCATTCAAGTTATCATGCACGACAATAAAAGCTCGTTGTTCGGTTGTAAGCTGCACCATTATTAGTTTGGCTGATTAATTTGACCATTAGCAGTTGAACTGTACGATTAGAAGCCATTTTAAAATCCCAGGGGCATAAAATCTATTGAGCTTATGAACAATATGAATTTTAGAATATTACACTTAATATACACCCTGTACACACGGATAAACAGCATGCTCATGCATATTTGGACTTCATCATCATCACCGATCTCACCACGAATTCACGTCACACAATTTCCGCTCATTATCACAAATCACATATGCGAGCACGTCGTTCCAAGAACTGCTAGCAGGTTAGAAACGTGCTTTCCCTAGTTATGCTTGGAGCCTGATGAAACATAACTACAGTTTTCAACGAAAAACAAACGAAAGCGACTTGACCAGAATGGCAATAACCGGCATTCATTCTGGCCAACGCATTTCACACATTTCCATATTGCACCCGCGTTTTGCCAAACAACAAACACATATTCGTAGCATTTCATCAATATAATTTTTAAATCCCCAATTATATCCACAATATTCTGCATTCCACAATTCCTATAAAGGAATCATATCAAATGTCACCAATCATCAATCTTCATCATTGCCACATGGCCAATCACCTCATTTTTTAAAGGCGCCCTCCAACAACCCTACAATGAGGGCATAGCTATCTCCACAGGATCTGAATACCTGCAACCACATATAAAATAAAAATATTGACTAAAAATGAAGGCATTGCAAAGGAGGAAAAATCCGATCAAAATTTGCCATTGAAAATCAGAAAATATAGGTCCTGGTCATGTGTTTATATAAGTTTATTGGCGATCAAAGACCCTAAATAAATCTCGATTCTCGATAATGTAATGTATATCTTCAAAAGCTGACACTATAGCTGTCTAGCAGGCGAATGCGGAATCACAACAAGGCTATATATGAATATTTGGCACTATAGACAAATTATCAGCAAATTTTTACAGTGAATAATGTCCCGCTTATTCTATACTTATTCAACAGCACTTAATAATATGACCAAGTGAGAATATCCTACCTCAAAAAATATTCACGCAATATTCGAACATATTTTAGGTGAGAATATGGGGTGTGTTTTATTCACAGGTATTCACGTCGGAATACTACTAATATTCCGGGGATATATGTGTGAATACGTGTGAATAGTCATTCAATCTCGCTCACAGATAGGCTAAGTAAAACCACGAGTTTTGCATCCATTTTTGCGTTCGACAATTAAAGGAGAACACATTCTAAGGCATTATGAGCAGCTATGAAAAAATCAGCGGAAGGGACTCAGCTGAGATTCGGTTGCTTAACATCAAAGTGTAACAAAAAATGACCTCATAAACACTAATTTTTTTTCGACTGTAGCGTTTTGAACTGATCCTATTTGTCGAGAAAACCTAATCAAGATCAATGCATAGGTTACTTTCTCCTGAAGACCACGGTTTGCTTTTCACGGTTAGATATTTCAGGACATGCATGAAGAGACAATTTTTGTTCTTTGCGCTCAAATGGATTCAGACATCAAGCAGTGTTGTAAAGTGAACATAATTTCGGTATGATGATATGTAGTGTTAGGTTGTTTTTTCGATAAGACTTTCAACAATTAATAACTCTCTCCATAATATAATATACTCTTCTGTGCATTGCGCAAAGTGTTATGTATATCTTTACACATTTATATCGACCGCTATTAATTCATTCAAGTATTAGTAATTAGTTTAACAATACACATTATACTACGATGAAATATTATGCATTTGAAACATTTGAAAGAGATCTAATCACGAACGCTGGGTTGCATGTTGGTATCTCAACATAACTGTCGCGATATAGGTAAGTAGCGGTATAATTTTATTTATATATATACATATTTATATATATATATATATATATATATATATATATATAAAAGAGCGAAAATATATTCATTTATTATAAGAGTAGTAGCTACTCGGAGTTTCAAGGTATGGAGCGATCATCAGGCTAATGACAGGTCTGGTCAGTGTTATTCTTTATATATACATCGTGATATTAGGTGTCGAGTTACGTGTCTAAATTGCGCGAAAAGTTCAGAGCGTTTGTTTCGAACACTGTTGGCTGATGGTAACTGCTAATAAATGCTGTTCGATATTCAGAAGCACATCGTACTTTAAGTTCAACCGCATGATATTGTTTAAATACAAACATGTCTTTCACTTTGTGTTGAACTATTCTTAAACTGTTGTTCATATGATAACCATAGAGCTTATATTAGGGTGTAATAATTGTGTGTTACGGAATGAAACTTCATCGAACAGCGTAAAAAGAACGGTTTATTCGTGCCTTGTGGAGGAATTGCCGTATCATGCGAGCGAAATCAAACCGCGTACGGGAAATTAGCCGAAGATTTCGAGTAGTGCACCACAACTCTTGCGATAGAAAGCTCTGTCGTAGATATAGATACGGTCACATGCGCTCTTCAACGATCTAGCGTCGCATTGCGTCAAGCCCAGAATTTCGCATCTTTCAGATTTTACTGGACAAAAATCAAGTTGATAGTCATATTCGTTTAGAACCACAGTGAACAAATGATGCGTAAAGTCTACAGGGTGTCCCAGAAAAAACAAAAACTATTGAAATCACCCATAACAATGCAATTGTTAGAGTTTGAATGCTTAAGCACTCTGTTGGGACCCATAGGTGTATAAATGTTTGCCATGTAGTCATTTTTATGCATGCATATGATGGAGTAAAATTTGCTTCTTCGCAAAATGATATTTATCAACAATATTTACAATTTACAAACATGGATAACATTATTTAAATGTGCATCTCAAGGACCATGAGCTTCGACATGTCCCCTTTCTCTAGCAGCACAAAGCATTTAGCATTTTATAAGTTGCATTAAATCCCCACGGGCTGTAATTCGTGAACACAGCATTCAAATTTTAACAATGAGTGATTTCAATAGTTTTCGTTTTTTTTGGGACACCCTGTAGATACGCAAATCGTTCAGTGGTATTTCAAAGAATAACAATTAAGAATGATGAGAATGATAAAGAGCAAAGCGGCTCTTTCCCATTAGGATGGATAATGTAATTAGTTTGAATTTCTATTTATCATGCATACATGTATACCTTTGTGTACGTAGTAAACGTATAATTTTGGTAGCCGGTGCGTCTATGGACACTTTAAAGTTACACTACAAGAACTGCATGATTGCAGATGTTTTTGAACTTTTTTATTATGACAAGCGCGACTTGATGGTCGATGAAATTTTGCAATTAGCTACACATTCGCACAGGCTGCTATTAACGTACAACCTAATAAGTTCTCCTAACAAGGAAATTTGTTGAAGAAATGTAGAAATACTCACCATCATTGTCTGTAGTAAAGGTCTATTGAATTCAAATACACGATATATTCATGTAATCACTAATCGACGATTTCCATCTTCAATTTCCGTGCTTAGATGGCCAGCATGATCCAAACCTAACTTATTTTGTTTTAAAGATTCCGGCTTTTCGTTAATATTGAGTTGGAAAAATACTTGTCATTCAATCTCGCTCACAGATTTGTACGCTAGGTGAAATCACGAGTTTGCATCCATTTTTGCGTTCGAGAAAGGAGAACGCATTCTAAGGCATTATGAGCAGCTATGAAAAAATCAGCAGAAGCAACACAGACAGCTGAGATTCGGTTGCTTACATCGAAGTGTAACAAAAAATGACTTCATAAACACGAATTTTT